GTCTTTCTTTTAAGGACATTTCATTGAAAACAACAGAAAGTTTTAGATTTATGATTCTGGCACGAATCTTTTCGATATTTCTTACGCTTTTCTTCACTGAAGGAGGAAGATTAAAAATGAACTCTCCAAAGTTTATTTTTACTTAGTAAATATTATCACTAAATAACATTTCTTCCTCACAGAATCAATGAGGATAGTACCTCACCACAGCGTATGAGTAATGGCGCCTCACACCGCCACACCTCACACATAATGAGGTTCTGCCTCATGAATTATCTTAGAACTTCGGCTCACAACAGAATATATGAAGATACTTAAAAACATTAAGACATCTATTTTCAGTAATATATGAAAATTATGGTTCTTTATTCACCAATAAATAGCCATACCTTTTGTATGACGTGGAACCTGATCATAATGTTGGTGGGGTTCGACGCCTGGTTCTACCGGTCTCGCTCTGAGTAGTGAAACATGGGGTGTGATGACCGTAGACTTTGACATACCACTTTAGATGCTCCAATTTCGTACCACTGGCATTATTCTCCATTGAGTAACCCCCAAAACAGTGACGCAGACGCAACAATAGCCAAGTGCGTCCAGCAACAGTGCCTTAAGCCTGGCAGAAAAGAATCGTAAGCCCAACAACAGTTTCGTGGATCCTACAGCAGTCATGGTCTGGACCCCAAAACACCGACGTAAATCCTTCCACAACAGCCCCCCAGGATCACCATCATACTGACCCCGGCCTATACTGCACATAATCAGGGTCGACGCACCAAAGAAATGCCGTGACGTAATCGATGGGAAACCAGGGGTAGGGGTGATGTCCTCTCACCCCCAGTAAGATGGGGGGAAGGTCTTCATCTTAGTGGGGGGGGGGGGGGAAGGTCTTCATCTTAATGAGGGGGAAGGCCTTCATCTTAGTGGGGGGGAAGATCTTCATCTTAGTGGGGGGGAAGGTCTTCATCTTAGTGGGGGGGAAGATCTTCATCTTAGTGAGGGGGAAGATCTTCATCTTAGTGAGGGGGAAGATCTTCATCTTAGTGGGGGGGAAGATCTTCATCTTAGTGGGGGAAGGTCTTCATCTTAGTGGGGGGGGGGAGGTCTTCATCTTAGTGGGGGGGGGAAGGTCTTCATCTTAGTGGGGGGGGAAGGTCTTCATCTTAGTGGGGGGGAAGGTCTTCATCTTAGTGGGGGGGAAGGTCTTCATCTTAGTGGGGGAAGATCTTCATCTTAGTGAGGGGGAAGATCTTCATCTTAGTGGGGGAGAGGTCTTCATCTTTGTGGGGGGAAGGTCTTCATCTTAGTGGGGGAGAAGGTCTTCATCTTAGTGGGGGGGGGAAGGTCTTCATCTTAGTGGGGGGGAAGGTCTTCATCTTAGTGAGGGGGAAGGTCTTCATCTTAGTGAGGGGGAAGGTCTTCATCTTAGTGGGGGGGGGGGAAGGTCTTCATCTTAGTGGGGGGAAGGTCTTCATCTTAGTGGGGGGGAAGGTCTTCATCTTAGTGGGGGGGAAGGTCTTCATCTTAGTGGGGGGGTCTCTTCATCTTAGTGGGGGGGGAAGGTCTTCATCTTAGTGAGGGGGAAGGTCTTCATCTTAGTTGGGGCGAAGGTCTTCATCTTAGTGGGGGTTAAACGCCTTCTTATCAATGGTCGGGCAGAAGAAGGGCTGAGGGCGCCGTCTTTGTGCAGGCCGGTCCAATCAAGGGATCTGGCCAGGATAAAATAAAACACATAGTTTTCCCTAAGCTGAGAAGAGGCTTGGATACTCCACCGGGGTATTCAATTTCTTCTAGCCATGTTTCTGAAAGGAGGAGTGTAACCTGATGGTCTCTTTAGCCGGCACTCTTCCGAGGCTCTGGGGTCCTCTACACACCCACCTGACCCCTTCACCAACCTAGACGAAACCTTTACATCCTTCCACTATTCCCCAACACTAACCCCCGTCCCACTACGCCAACTCTTCTTCACCACCGACAATTTCCCCACACCCCCGCCAGTTTAACGCCAATGGATCATTCAAACTCCCCCACCACAATCACCCCCCCAACAGTCGCCCTCCAATTGTTGGGGCCAAAACTGTAAACAATTTCACGACGGACAACGAATTGTAAGTTGAGAAAACTACCTCCTCAGGAAGAACTACAGTAACCATCTCCTAAGAACGGATTGCCAAAATTATCTCCTCAGAACGAGCTCTCAAAACTACCTCCTCAAAAGGAACATAAATCATGATGAACTTTGAAACTGTTTCAGGGTCCTACCTGTTTGACAAGATATTTTTTACACTTTTATTCAAAGCATTAATTGCTTTGATTACATTAAAGGTGCTTTTCCAATAGTTTGGCGCGTAATCGCCGTTTCCTAGAATACTTATTTTCAACAATTAAATAATTTGCCATTTAATTCTTCAAGTTACAAAGGCATTGATTTGTTTCGATAGAAATGAATGTTGATTTGTAATATAACACATCCCTTGCTAGGTTCCTGTGGATGCCTAGACGAATATGTCTGCTATAACCGGTCATGTTCTAGCTTCCACTAGAGTCTACGTGATTACCGATTCTTTCTCAGGTATAAAAGGTCCCCTTTAAGGTCCCCGCGGATGTTTATGGTACCTTTATAGTTACATATCTGGACTTTCTCTGATATACCTGTTGATATACGGTCATCTTCAGTTATAAATAGCCCCTTTCTACAGAGTGAGAGAGTGAGAGAGAGAGAGAGAGAGAGAGAGAGAGAGAGAGAGAGAGAGAGAGAGAGAGAGAGAGAGAGAGAGAGAGAGAGAGAGAGAGAGAGAGAGAGAGAATAACAGGAAGAGGTCGACATAAAGCACCAGACAGACAAAAGGGGTAACTGAGCCTTAGCTTAGACCGGCGAAGCCATTAACACGGTGTAAGATGCCGGGAAGGGGGGAAGGGACTGTATGCAGGGGGAAGGGACGTCAGGTAGGGGGAGGAATGCTATGTAGAGATGTAGGGGGAGGGACGCTATGTAGGGGGAGGGACAGCATATGATGGAGAGGGTGAGGCATGGCTGTTGATGGAAGGAATGACTGGTGACTGAAGGAGGGAGGGAAGGAGGGAGGGGTAGGAGGGCGGGAGGCATAGGAGGATAGAAGGAGGGAAGAAGAGAGGGGTAGGAGGGAGTGGTAGGAGAGAGGGGAGGGGTTAGGGAGGAAGGGGAAGAAAGGGAAGGGAAATGGCTGGATAATGAGACAATGGGACCCGGTCGGCCGAGCGGACAGCACGCTGGACTTGTGATCCTGTGGTCCCGGGTTCGATCTCGGGCGCCGGCGAGAAACAATGGGCAGAGTTTCTTTCACCCTATGCCCCTGTTACCTAGCAGTAAAATAGGTACCTGGGTGTTAGTCAGCTGTCACGGGCTGCTTCCTGGGGGTGGAGGCCTGCTCGAGGACCGGGCCGCGGGGACACTAAAGCCCCGAAACCATCTCAAGATAACCTCAAGATGGGTACAGATGCTGAAGGAAAGCTGTGGCAAGAAGGAAAACCCATCCAGGAGCTGACCAATCAGGGCTCTCCTTATAGTGACTAACTAGCCCAGCAACTAGTAGCACCTAGTTCTTGGCCCCCGATTCCTAGCTATTTGTGCCTAGTGCATTTACATTTATTTACCTATTTCTACCAATCTACATGCTATGTGTTCCCTTGAAGCTGTGGCTGGAGGTGGCTTCCAATACTTCTTCTCGACAAGTCCTTAACCCTATGGTCCCTGGAACACGACCCCCACGAAGAATCGTTGTTACAACCAAGTACACATTTTACTCTTGAGTTAAACAGAGGCTACAGTTAAGGATTTGCGCCCAGTAAATCCTCCCCGGCCAGGATACGAACCCATGACAAAGCACTCGCGGAACGCCAGGCGAGTGTCTTACCACTACACCACGGAGACTGTTAACAATTAATTATTCCTGAAGTGTTGGTCTGTATTTGGGTCGTGTTTGACATAATTACCTGACCAGCAGATGGCAACTGTGGCAGCCAGCTGACCTTAACGACAGAACCACGTCGTTATCTGTCCTTAACGACCCCATTCTCGTCAGTAGACCCGTAATTCGTGATTACAAACCTGAACGAGTTGATGTATTATCCATACTTTTACGTGTGTTGATAGTTGTATTATCGTGCTTTACATAACGTCATTCATTCATGAAATACACGGTCTGTGTTCCATACTGGCGTCGAGCGGCCGGCGGATGGTTCGACCGTCAATAAGGGCGGGAATTCTGTCATTCGGGAGGGGGGTTTCCGTCCTTGTGTCTCCGTGTATGAGGTCCCCCGCGCGCCTCAATATGTTACATTGTGCCATTTTATCGGCGCCTGTTGTAAGGGAATACTTTATTGTGTCCACTGTGGTGGTGGTGGTGTCTCTCCCTCAGGTGGTACTGGTGCAGCGGTACTGGTGCAGCGGTACTGGTGCAGGGGTACTGGTGCAGCGGTACTGGTGCAGCGGTACTGGTGCAGCGGTACTGGTGCAGCGGTACTGGTGCAGCGGTACTGGTGCAGGGGTACTGGTGCAGCGGTACTGGTGCAGGGGTACTGGTGCAGCGGTACTGGTGCAGGGGTACTGGTGCAGCGGTACTGGTGCAGGGGTACTGGTGCAGCGGTACTGGTGCAGGGGTACTGGTGCAGCAGTACCGGGGCAGCGGTACTGGTGCAGGGGTACTGGTGCAGCAGTACCGGAGCAGCAGCAGCAGCAGCAGCAGGAGGGGAGCAGGAACAGGCGGATCTATACAAGGGGGAAGCAGCTTTCCGGCGCCAGAGCTTCCCTCTCTTCCTGATATTTTTCTTTTTCCTAAGGTAGACGCCGGCGTCGAATGGGACGGGACGGAGGGGTAGGATGGAAATGGGGAGAGGGGAAGGGAAAGGAGAGACGGGAAGGGAGAAAAGGGATGGGATGGACAAGGATGGATGAGAATGGGAAGGGGGCCACCTCCACTCTTGTGTCATACAGCCTGCACCTCCACTCTTGTATCATCCAGCCTGCACCTCCACTCTTGTGTCATCCAGCCTGCACCTCCACACTGGTATCATCCAGCCTGCACCTCCACACTCGTATCATCCAGCCTGCACCTCCACTCTTGTGTCATCCAGCCTGCACCTCCACTCTTGTATCATCCAGCCTGCACCTCCACTCTTGTGTCATCCAGCCTGCACCTCCACACTCGTATCATCCAGCCTGCACCTCCACTCTTGTGTCATCCAGCCTGCACCTCTACTTTCGTATCATCCAGCCTGCACCTCCACTCTGGTGTCATCCAGCTTGCACCTCTACTCTCGTATCATCCAGCCTGCACCTCCACTCTTGTGTCATCCAGCCTGCACCTCCACTCTGGTGTCATCCAGCCTGCACCTCCACTCTCGTATCATCCAGCCTGCACCTCCACTCTCGTGTCATCCAGCCTGCACCTCCACTCTCGTATCATCCAGCCTGCACCTCCACTCTCGTATCATCCAGCCTGCACCTCCACTCTCGTATCATCCAGCCTGCACCTCCACTCTGGTGTCATCCAGCCTGCACCTCCACTCTGGTGTCATCCAGCCTGCACCTCCACTCTGGTGTCATCCAGCCTGCACCTCCACTCTCGTATCATCCAGCCTGCACCTCCACTCTCGTATCATCCAGCCTGCACCTCCACAGTCGTATCATCCAGCCTGCACCTCCACTCTCGTATCATCCAGCCTGCACCTCCACAGTCGTATCATCCAGCCTGCACCTCCACTCTCGTATCATCCAGCCTGCACCTCCACTCTAGTGTCATCCAGCCTGCACCTCCACTCTCGTATCATCCAGCCAGCACCTCCACTCTCGTGTCATCCAGCCTGCACGTTATCGCTCGCTTAAGCGGTGGAACACAATACAGTAAATTCGCATATAGCAACAAGCAAAGTTAGTGAGACTCTCTCGAGTGAAAATTAGAAGAGAACTCTCACTTCTTCCTCGTCAGCTCGAGTACCAGAGGCGATGGGCACTCAACGCACTCAAGCGTAGTGTGTGCAGTGCACTCAAGTGCATTTTGGAGAGTGGAGTGGAGGGAGTGTTGGATGGGGTTGTGGAGGGAGGTGTGGAAGTGTTGTGTTACACACACATGTGTGAGGGTCTCGCTTGACGCGACTCGTGTGTGTGTGTTTGTGTGTGTGTGTGTGTGAGGTTACACACACACACACACACACACACACACACACACAATTAACGAGACGAGTTTCGACAGATGAGTATTGTAAAATACTCCAAGAGGACTTGACCAAGCTGCAGAGATGGTCAGAGAAGTGGCTACTGGAGTTCTACACGAGCATGTGTAAAGTTATGGAAATGGGATTAGGTGACAGGAGACCAAAGGGACAGTACACAATGAAAGGGAACATGTCTACCTGTGCCGACTCGAGAAAGAGACCTGGGTGTGGACGTAACACCTAATCTAACTCCTGAGGCACATATAAATAGGATAACGACTGAAGTGTACTGTACACTAGCAACAGTTAGAACGTCATTCCGAAACCTAAGTTAGGAGGCAGTCAGAGGGCTTTAAACTGCCTACGTTAGACCTTAGAGTACACCTCCCCAACATGGAGCACCTAAAGAAACACATTAGAAACACGTTAGGAAACTGAAAAGGGTTAAAAAATTGCGACGAGGCTAGTCCCGGAGTTGCATGGGATGGGTAATGACGAGCGACGAAAGGAACTGAACCTGACGATGCTAAAAAAAAATGGAGGGAGCGGGGGAGATATGATAGCAGCATACAAAATACTTACGAAGATTGACAGAGTAGAAATAGACGAAATGTTCACACGTAATACCAACAGAACAAGGGAACATGGGTGGAAGGTGGAAACTCAGATGAGTCTCAGAGATGTTAGAAAGTTTTCTTTTAACGTGAGAATAGTGGAGAAATGGAATGTACTTAAGGAGCAGGTTGTGGAAGTAAACACTATGCACAGGTTTAAAACTAGGTATGATAGAGAAGAAGGACAGGAGTCATTACTTTAAACAACCGATGGCTAGAAAGGCGGGATCCAAGAGCCAACACTCGATCCTGCAGGCACAAATAGACGAGTACACACGGGTGGTACGCGAACAAGGGGACACAGGTGGAGACTGAGTACACACATGAGCCATATGGACGTTAGAAATAACTTTTTCAGTGTCAGAGTGGTTAACAAATGGAATGCATTAGGCAGTGATGTGGTGGAGGCTGACTCCATACACAGTTTCAAATGTAGATATGATAGAGCCCAGTAGGCTCAGGAATCTGTACACCAGTTGATTGACAGTTGAGAGGCGGGACCAAAGAGCCAGAACTCAACCCCCCTCCCGCAAAGCACAACTAGGTAAGTACAACTAGGTAAGTACACACGGCACCAGTTGTGGGGGAAGCTGGCTGAAGGTAATTCCATTTCAAACGCCTGTTAGTTTCTCCTAGTAGGGAACCCGAGTGGAAACTCTAGAGTGTGTTTTATAATGTCACTTGTGAGCTCTCAGCGGCGAACACAGCAACGGAGGCGAGACGTGTGCCAGTGGTGGTGTGGGTACCTCATCATGCTCCAGGGTTGTGTCAGTGGTGGTGTGGGTACCCCATCATGCTCCAGGGTTGTGTCAGTGGTGGTGTGGGTACCCCATCATGCCCCAGGGTTGTGTCAGTGGTGGTGTGGGTACCCCATCATGCTCCAGGGTTGTGTCAGTGGTGGTGTGGGTACCCCATCATGCTCCAGGGTTGTGTCAGTGGTGGTGTGGGTACCCCATCATGCTCCAGGGTTGTGTCAGTGGTGGTGTGGGTACCCCATCATGCTCCAGGGTTGTGTCAGTGGTGGTGTGGGTACCCCATCATGCCCCAGGGTTGTGTCAGTGGTGGTGTGGGTACCCTATCATGCCCCAGGGTTGTGTCAGTGGTGGTGTGGGTACCCCATCATGCTCCAGGGTTGTGTCAGTGGTGGTGTGGGTACCCCATCATGCTCCAGGGTTGTGTCAGTGGTGATGTGGGTACCCCATCATGCTCCAGGGTTGTGTCAGTGGTGGTGTGGGTACCCCATCATGCTCCAGGGTTGTGTCAGTGGTGCTGTGGGTACCCTATCATGCCCCAGGGTTGTGTCAGTGGTGGTGCGGGTACCCTATCATGCCCCAGGGTTGTGTCAGTGGTGGTGTGGGTACCCTATCATTCCCCAGGGTTGTGTCAGAGGTGGTGTGGGTACCCTATCATGCCCCAGGGTTGTGTCAGTGGTGGTGTGGGTACCCTATCATGCCCCAGGGTTGTGTCAGTGGTGGTGTGGGTACCCCATCATGCCCCAGGGTTGTGTCAGTGGTGGTGTGGGTACCCCATCATGCCCCAGGGTTGTGTCAGTGGTGGTGTGGGTACCCTATCATGCCCCAGGGTTGTGCCAGTGGTGGTGTGGGTACCCTATCATGCCCCAGGGTTGTGCCAGTGGTGGTGTGGGTACCCTATCATGCCCCAGGGTTGTGCCAGTGGTGGTGTGGGTACCCTATCATGCCCCAGGGTTGTGTCAGTGGTGGTGTGGGTACCCTATCATGCCCCAGGGTTGTGCCAGTGGTGGTGTGGGTACCCTATCATGCCCCAGGGTTGTGTCATTGGTGGTGTGGGTACCCTATCATGCCCCAGGGTTGTGTCAGTGGTGGTGTGGGTACCCCATCATGCCCCAGGGTTGTGTCAGTGGTGGTGTGGGTACCCCATCATGCCCCAGGGTTGTGTCAGTGGTGGTGTGGGTACCCCATCATGCCCCAGGGTTGTGTCAGTGGTGGTGTGGGTACCCCATCATGCCCCAGGGTTGTGTCAGTGGTGGTGTGGGTACCCCATCATGCCCCAGGGTCGTGTCAGTGGTGGTGTGGGTACCCCATCATGCTCCAGGGTTGTGTCAGTGGTGGTGTGGGTACCCCATCATGCTCCAGGGTTGTGTCAGTGGTGGTGTGGGTACCCCATCATGCTCCAGGGTTGTGTCAGTGGTGGTGTGGGTACCCCATCATGCTCCAGGGTTGTGTCAGTGGTGGTGTGGGTACCCCATCATGCTCCAGGGTTGTGTCAGTGGTGCTGTGGGTACCCCATCATGCTCCAGGGTTGTGTCAGTGGTGGTGTGGGTACCCTATCATCCCCCAGGGTTGTGTCAGTGGTGGTGTGGGTACCCCATCATGCTCCAGGGTTGTGTCAGTGGTGGTGTGGGTACCCCATCATGCTCCAGGGTTGTGTCAGTGGTGGTGTGGGTACCCCATCATGCTCCAGGGTTGTGTCAGTGGTGCTGTGGGTACCCCATCATACTCCAGGGTTGTGTCAGTGGTGGTGTGGGTACCCCATCATGCTCCAGGGTTGTGTCAGTGGTGGTGTGGGTACCCTATCATGCCCCATGGCGTACCCATAATTGCCACAGTGGAGGCGAGGGCCCCAGCACCCTCCCTCAGGCAGTAACCGCAATTGTTACAAAACTCTGAGTTAGTTGAAACAAAAAGAGAGAGAGACAAGTTAGTATATTAGTGTTGCTTAATCTGTATTCCTGGGAGGGTGCCGTAAATTGGGGTGAGTGGAGTGAGAGAGAGAGAGAGAGAGAGAGAGAGAGAGAGAGAGAGAGAGAGAGAGAGAGAGAGAGAGAGAGAGAGAGAGAGAGAGAGAGAGAGAGAGAGAGAGAGAGAGAGAGAGAGAGGGAGGGAGGGAGAGGGAGGAGGGGGAGGGGGAGGAGCAGAGGAGAGGAGGATGACTAGTCAGAAACAGAGAGGTAGAAGGAAGCTTAGCAAGGCGACTTAAAAATTTAGACGAGCTAAAAGCTGAAACACTTGGGAGTAGAACTACATTGAAGCACTACTTTCAAGAAGAACTACCTTGAAGGAAAACTGTCTAGAAGATGGAACTTCCTAGAAGGGAGAACTATCTTGAAGATGGACTACTTTGAAGGAGAATTTCCTTGAAGTAGAACTACCTTAAAGGAGAACTACCTAAGTGAAAAATCTTGAAAATTACCTTTAAGGAGAACTACTTAGAACGAGAACTACCTGCCTGATGGGGGCCTGACAGCTGAATGGACAGCGCTTCGGGTTCGAAGTTCATATGTTCCGGGTTCGATCCCCGGTGGAGGCGGAAACAAATGGGCAGAGTCACAATAACGTGGCTGAAGTATGTTGACCAGACCACACACTAGAAGTTGAAGGGACGACGACGTTTCGGTCCGTCCTGGACCATTCTCAAGTCGATTGTCAACATACTTCAGCCACGTTATTGTGACTCATTGCCTGCAAATGGGCAGAGTTTCTTTCAATCTGATGCCCCTGTTATCTAGCAGTAAATAGGTACCTGGGAGCTAGACAGCTGCTACGGGCTGCTGCCTAGGGGGTGTGTAACAAAAAGGAGGCCTGGTCGAAGACAGGGCCGCGGGGACGCTAAGCCCCGACATCATCTCAAGATAACCTCAAGATAAGATACCTTGAAGGAGAAATACCTAGAAGAACTATCTAGGAGAACTACAAGGAGGACAGCCTTGAAGTAGAACTACCTCGAATGATAAATATCAAGAACATAGACTAGCAAGATGAGTGACTTTCATGGATGAGGACTAGCTAGGAGGGTTAGCTAGAAGGACAATTAGCTAGGAGGAAAATTAGCTAGGAGGAAAATTAGCTAGGAGGAAAATTAGCTAGACAGAGAACTAGCAAAAAGGAGGACTAGGCAGGGGAGTTGAACGAGGCACTCGAGTCAGTCCATCAATCATGCGTCTCAGGGAATCAATTTCCGTGGACACTGACACGGAACGTGCGGCCATTGTCGAGCTGATGTCTCTCTCCCGGCCGTCCAGCGGTCTTCCTGGAAGACTGGAAGTCTCTCCCGGCCGTCCAGCGGTCTTCCTGGAAGA